AATATTGATCATTAGAAAGACTCAGAAATTGCACAGATGGTTGTAAGTCTAGAGGAATGAACAAGTGGACAAAAATGAGGACATTGTAAGTGAAAGAGGCTCTAGTGAAGGGTGATGAGATGAACTGGTTGATTGCAAGGATATTGCAGAAGAGCCAAGTAAATTATTGCATCATTCTCAATAAATACTTTTTTGGTATGTCTTGACTGTCCATGGGCAAGAAGGCTCTCTAGCATACAATTATGCATTTATGAAATTATTTACTAAGAGCTCATTTAATATCTTTGATAAATCATTTCAGTAATTTCTTCTAGGACTGTGAGTAGTTACTTGATATGCAAAAATTTATTTCAATATATTTAATAAAAATTCCCAGACATTATGAAATGTCACCTGTATGGTCAAATAACCACATGGCTCCTTTATGTGTGTAGAGTTGCACAACCTTTAGTAATCATGGATATATTTATGGAAATGGAAAAGAGAACCATATGGGTTTAAAAGCCAAAGTTCAAGACAAGTGCCTCTGCTATTCCTATTCCTCCCAGTTTCAATTCCCATTTGAATATATTTTTTAGGGTGTGTATAATAACCTTAGATGAATTTTGAGGGAAAGAGGCCATGGTTTGAACCTAGTGGGTGCAGATAGCAAGACTACAATGCCATGCCCACTGTAATAAAAGTTCATCTATTGTCTTTACACATAGTGCTATAAGTGCTTAGTCACCAAGGAGTCAGTTATTAGTCTTACCTATCTCACCTGTTTACCCTTTTCCTTGATTTTTTGAAAGCTTCATTGGTATTATTTTATTGTCTTTAATGTTATTCATATTTTCATAACAATTTGATAGTCATGATGTCAATAAGAATAATAACAATATTAATATTAATAGTATTAGAAAGAAAAAACAGATTTTCCTACTAATTCAAGGAATGGGGAAATCAGGCATAATAACTAGGGCCTACTAATAGACTCCTTGGAGGCTGAGCACATGTGGAGCCATCTGTATGTAACAAAATTCACCAAAAACTACATGGGACACTGCATAAATGGTCATCATTATCATTAAGGTTAGCATTATTATCATCATTATTTTGTGGAAACTTGTGAATGTGAGAGATGGTGGTTATTTACTGACTCAAGCCAGTAGAGTGCACTGTAACTAGACCAACAGATTATCAGAAAAGCTAATTCCTTCTGTGGGAATTTCGAAATGTTAGAAGAATTTTAAATTGTAGCTTTTTAATTTTTTTGGTTTCTTATTGGTTACTTATAAGTTTGCAGACTTATGCTAAACTAAAAATGAAAGAGTGAGATGAAGAATATTGGGGCAGTGAATAATGGGGATTGCCTGTATACATACACACACACACACACACACACACACACACACACACACACACACACACACACACACACACACACACACACACACACACACACACACACACACACACATACACACATGTATACACACACACACACACACACACACACACACACACACACACACACACACACACACACACACACACACACACACACACACACACACACACACACACATGTATACACATACACACATGTATACACATACACACATGTATACACATACACACATGTATACACATACATACACACATGTATACACATACATACACACATGTATACACATACACACACACACACACACACACACACACACACACACACACACACACACACACACACACACACACACACACACACACACACACACACACACATACACATACACACATGTATACACATACATATATATACAGGCCTTGGGTCTTGTATATGACTTGGTTCCAGGACAGTACCGTATCAATTTTGGTAGACCATGAGAAATTATGTGATGATAATTCAGAAGCACTCTCACCTCTAATATATCGTAGACCACCACTACCATATGCACTTCGCTTGAACTCTAAGGCTGAAAAAAAAACAAAAAACCAATTGAGGGAGCATCCACAACCACTTCATTGTAAGCCCCACGTACAAAGTCCAATGTTGCAGTTGGCACAGAAGCTCCAGATGCTCTTCCTCTGACTCTGTCCTGAGCAGACCTCTCATCATCTCTGCCTGCCATCAGGTATTTTGGAAAGTGCGTGTTGTTGTTGCTACAGAGTGCACCTAGTTACAGTTCTGCTCTTGGTTGAGTCAACCCCTTCTCTAAACTTCTCCAAGAGCTCAGAGACGAAAGGCCTTCTGTAATTCCTCTGATCCCAGGGCACGATGGATGGCCCAGGCATTGACATTGGCCATGTCAAAGAGGAATAAGAAGACCCTCCTGTTCCAGGCCTTGGACCAGCGAGTTGTTGGATAGTAACTTGGAGCTCCTTCCTCCAAGTGGGCGAAATGGAGGTGTGTTGTCAACTGGTCAAACTGTTCCCTCTTCATGACCTCAGCAATGAGTTCCTGATGAAGGACATGGTTAGTTGTCCTGTGGAGATCCACCATCCCCATTATCATGTGGATACCAAGGTATGTCATGACCTCCTGCCTGGACATGGGTATCCCCTTCCTCATGAGGAGAGGCTTTAGGAGGGTGGGCGACCACAGACCTGTGGGAGTGGAAAAGAAAAACAAGGAAGTTATACAGTCGGACTGCTCAATGCATGAAATATTTACTCAATATGGATAAAAATGGAAGGAGCACAAAGCAATAATGAAACCTAACAGTTTGTCTCCTGGATGATTAGATCAAGGAGATTGCTGATATGAAAACAGCCAAAGATCTCCAAGGGCATCCTTGACACATCCAGTGTCACATTAATACCAGGACTGCATTCAAGGCCGTGTTGTCTGGGTGTTGTCTTTAAGAACTTCTCACTTCCAGGAGCATTCCTCTGTAGTAGCTTGGCTACCACACTGGAAAGGGGCTTGTCATTGTTTAGCATCCTTTTGACCTGAGACACTTATCCGGTTCCTTGTTTGAACTGGACACATCAAAAGGAGGGTTGACGGGGGAGCTACTGGGGAGCTAATCATCCCCACTCTTCTTGGAGGAGAGGTCAAAAAGAAGGAAGAGTGGGGAGAAGATGAAGTTCAGTGTGGTGGATATTGCCGAAGCACCTTTGCAAGAGGTGTGCGTGCGTGTGACTCACTCACTCACTCACTCACTCACTCACTCACTCACTCACTCACTCTCTCTCTCTCTCTCTCTCTCTCTCTCTCTCTCTCTCTCTCTCTCTCTCTCTCTCTCTCTCTCTCTCTCTCTCTCTCTCTCTCTCTCTCCCTCCCTCCCTCCCTCCCTCTCCTCATAATTTTCCTACTCCCTCCATCCTTACATGGCTTGAAAACCCAGGTAAATTGAAATACTAATTTCACATCTTTACACGACCTCATGATGTAACTAGTGGTTACGAGTGGAATAATAAATAGTCTTGGAAATATCCGTGTAGACATAACAGACGTCACTAAGTTTCATTGCATTATGTCTTACATGTGAGACACCCTTAAAATGGCCGGGATCAATAGCGCTCCACATATGAGACGCCTGGAAATGATCTGGGTGTCTGGTGTAATTCCTTTCTTTATCAGATATTTATCACCAGAATTAATAGTTATTGTTGATGTCATTCTTGGTATTTATTTTACGAGGTATGTATAGTTTTTCCTTTTTTTTGTACATATGTATTTATTATTGTTTTTATCGTGGAAATTGTATATAATACTCACATGCCTGTTTTGCCAAGTCACAGTTCAGACTTTCTCATTTCTAATCACTGTATATAAACGTCTGATATAATCTTTACAGTGGATCCACAGATGTATACTATGGATCCTGGTGAAGAAAGGAGTGTAATTTCCTGTCAGTGTTCTCAGTGGATCCAAATACCTAACTCTTTGTTATATTATATTGCACTTTCTTCTTCTGTGTTTCCTTTATTATCAAATGATGTGTTTTTTTAAAGCTTTCTTCTTTTTGTTATTAAATGCTTAAGTTTCATGGATTAAGCTGTAGGGTTATGTAATCAGATATGCCTTTCAATCCTTTGGGATATGAAATATCATGATTATATTTTAGGGGGAAATTTGAATTAAATAGATTTTCATCTTTCTTTTATTCATTCTATAGATTTGAATCTGATGTATATAAGTTTTTTTTTTAGATATTATCATTATTAAATACATTTAAATAGAATAAAAAAATTAATATCATTAGTAATTTTTCCTTTTTTTTTTTCTTGAAGATGTGTTCTGATGGGCCTGGCCCTAGGAGTAGTGCCCTTCTTGCCTGCGTCGAATCTCTTCTTCCGAGTAGGGTTTGTCATAGCGGAACGTGTGCTCTATCTCCCCGCGGCTGGATTCTGCATCTTGGTGGTTACAGGGATGCGAGAGCTCAGTGCTGCTGGTCACGTTAGTAAGGTGTGTGTGCTTGAAGACATAAGTTATCAAATTAACTTTTTTTTTTTCTTCAAATTTTCATATTCAGTTCATTTTCATGGAGCATTCCAACAGCTTTAATTTTTTTTTTCATTTTCCTATAATAATTTTTTTTGTTCTGGTCAACTTTAACGAAATGCCTAACCTTTCAGAGGGTACTCCAAGTCGGCTATGTATTATTGGTGGTTGTGTTCGTCCTGAGGTGCCAGCAGAGAAGCCGTGATTGGTTGACAGAAAAGCAGCTCTTCAGCTCTGGACTGGATGTGTGTCCGCTCAATGCAAAGGTTAGATTTCTTTTATATTTGCTATGTGGTTTTATCTGTATAGCTTTCTGTTTGTATATCTGTTTATCATGTATCTATTTACCATGTATTTTTTTATTATTGATATTATTTTTGTTGCAGATCTCATTATTGTTGCTTATACATATATTTTTTCCTTTCATTTATCTATATTCCCTGCCGCCCCATACTCCAGGTTCATTACAACATGGGGAAAGTAGCAGCAGACAATGGGGATGTTTTTGAAGCTGTGAGTCGATACAGAGAAGCCCTTCGGCTGAATCCTGACTACGACCAAGCCATGAATAATCTAGCCAATATTCTAAAGGTAAATGCAGTGGTTCTATTTTTGTGAAGGCTTTCTTTCTTTCTTCTTCTTCTTATTTTTTTTTTTTGAGTGATAGGATATCGCCCAGGAGAAGATGTAGAGTTTGCTGTTGCTTTGTATTTTGGTTGGATTGTGTTAATAGTTTTTTCAGAAAAAAAAAAGATTTTTAAAATGTTCAAATAAACAAAAAATAACAAAAAAGAAATAAACATATACACAACTAAAATTTTTGCTCAGGACCAAGGGCATCTAGACGAGGCACTGCATCTCCTCCAACAAGCAACGACACTGAGACCAGATTTTGCCGCAGCCTGGATGAACTTAGGAATTGTTCAGGCATCATTGGGTGATCATTCCTCGGCAGAGACAAGCTATCTCACTGCACTGACACACAGATCTGTAAGTTAATTAATGGATGCTGTTCCTGAACTTTAAATAAAAAAAAAAAATACTGTGTTTAGTGTTGCCACTAAATAAATCGTGAATAATCACCATCATTGACTTTAATTTTCACTTTTCTATTGTAGATCCTTAGATTTCCTTGTAAGATTTAGATTAGATCTTTGGTTATTAACAGAATTTGTAAACTCCTTTTAAACCAACAAGTACAAGTTACTGTGTGAAACTCAAACCAGCTTTAAGTTATTGCAATCCAAAAAAGACCTTTCCTTAACTTCTAAGGAAGTACAGGAGAGTCAAATAGACTTTTGTGCTGAAATAAGAACCTCTTCAGGCTTGCAATTACCCTAGATCTTCAGTTTCTCTGTAAGACAAATTTACTTATTTACACTTAAGGTTCATAGCCAAATTATAGAAACCAGGTTGGTCAGACTTGCAAGAGCCCTTGATTAGAACAACAGGTACTCACAACTCTCAATATCAGAATTGGAATAATATTTTTTTTTCAACATTTAGATTCTCATCTTTTCCCAATAAACCTGTTATTAGAGGTCAGAAAACATTACAGACTAGCAAGTACCTTGCATAACAGAAGTTCAAGCATGTATGTATATAATGCAAATCCTCAAATTTTTGCATAACATTCAAGCCACCTTTACCTTGGCCTTCTTCCTCCCCCCTCCCTCAGGTGTACCCCGACTGCCTGTACAACCTGGGCAATCTGTACTTGGAGAAGGGTGACCACAGTGCTGCCTTGGCCACCTGGACCAATGCCACTTCCCTCAAGCCCTCCCTCGCTGTGGCTTGGACCAACATGCTGATTCTGCTGGACTCACAGGGCCTCTACCAGTCAGCAATTGATGTGGCTGACAAGGCACTCAGGTATTGAGAGAGAGTGTGGCATTTTGTTAAAGTTTAAGGGGAGGGGATGGTGAGCTAGGACACTTGGTCACTACTAATGTAATTATTTGATGGATTGATTGTTAGGACATGTTGCCATCTAATGAGTACATCCACTCTATCCCTCCAGGCACCTACCGAGTGAGCCAGCCCTGCACTTCAATCTGGCCAACACCCTTGGCAAGTTAAGCCGCTATGAAGAGTCTGAGTCGCACTTTCTGTTAGCCACCAACCTGGACCCAGGCAACGCCAACTACTGGGCCAACCTAGGGGTCCTGTACCACCGCTGGAGGAAGTATGAGCAGGCTGAGAAGTCCTACCTCCATGCCCTCAAGCTCAACCCAACCCTGAAGAGTGCACAGGACAACCTCAACATGCTGCTCAAGGCCACTGGCAAGATATATAGATAGCACAAGATAAGGTCGAGTAAATTCTAGTGAGGCTTTGTGACCTCATATTGGTTGGAGATTAGGGAAGGGATATGTGAGGCAGCAGTGAGTCTGAGAGGGGCTTTGTGGTACGGCCAGAAGTGGGTATGTTTAAAGTGTTTTTCACAAATTTGATAAACGAAGAAACATGGACTCGGGTCTTTGCTCTACTTAAGTGGTATGTGAGAATGACCAGAATTTTATACTTGTGGAAGTCATTTTGACATAAACAACTTTTATCCTTGGAGATGTCAAAAAGATTTCCATTGTGTGCATAGTTGCATTATCACTAACAGATAAGACTTGGAAAAGTAGGAGTACCCAGTCATACCATATCATTCCGTGCATAGATATATTGATACCTCAGTGTTAAAAGGGAAATGTGCTGTCGTTGAAATAGAGCTAATTTAGATATTGCTTTTACTTATGCTCACTGTTGATTTCTTTGAAGCAGTTTCACGCTTATCACTAGCCCATCTAAGTTGCATTGATTGCTCTGCAACAAAACTGCAGATCTTTCCCATATGTGACTGAATTATGTTTGGTCTGTTGCCATATTTTCAAGTTTTTATATGTATTTGTACATACATGTAAACCTTAATAACAGATTCATTGTAGTTTATTATTTTTTTTTTAAGACTGTATTATGAATCTGTGCTAGTGTTATTCTTGTTATCACTGTGGTGTTAAGTCTAATAAGGCCTTGAGGACTTATTTCAAGAAAGATGTGCCAAGACATTCTGTGTTAATATTGAGTTCAATTAAAAGAGAAAGGCAATTTTGCTTCTGTAAAGGAGTGCTCAACTAATAGGACTGTTGTTTAGAGGATTATTGTTTTAATTTTTTGAAGGGCAGTATGATTTAAGAAGACATTTTTTTTTCTTTTACGTTTTGATGGGCATTAAATTCTATGTAGGAGAATCTCGGCTTTAGATGTTAATTACTTCTTTTGCAGGGAACAACAGGTGTCATATTTATGTAATTGTACATAAAAACCTGCGGTAGATCTCTATTGTCGTAAATGGTTACCCTGAAGAACCAAGAAAAAGTCAGTACTTACATCTGCAATATGTTGATTCTCAGTGTAAAAATTATGCTCATTTGCCACATAGAAAAGACACTCCATTGCCATGCTTCTTACCCCCTGGACACATACTCCATTCTTAAATGTGATTCAATGTGGTCCGCCGTCTTGTAGATGGAGGATATGTTTATTTTTTTAATGATGTATTAGTATGATCCCTTGAATAACCAGTGTCAGAAAGTTACAGCATGAGAGAAAGCATTTGGAATGTGTCAGTGCATGATATAAAGTAAGCTGTTCTTTTATCAGTGATAACACTGATATATCAGGAGTATTTTAGCAAGGATAAAAGTGGATTTCACAGCCACCTTACTGTAGTTAAAGTTTGTACAACACGGTTTGCTATTCATGCAAACTTTTAAGCATCCCTGAAACTAAGATGTTGCCAGATTTTGATAAAAGTGAACAAGGAACAAAAGACAATATTGTCTCAGCAGTACATCACATAATGTGCAGACAGAGACAGTTGCAGTAAGTGGCCTCTACAAACATTACTTAATAGTGGGCAGTCAGAGTTTATGAAATCTATAGTGTATTTTGTTATCTGAAGAAGCATGATCTGGGTTTTATTAATTTAATTCTTTTGAGAGCTGATATCCGATTCTTTTTATATATATTTTTCCTTTCAGTTGGTTTGCATCACTGAAAGCTAAGCTTGGGTTGTGTCACCTATTATTTTGTGCTTGTAATAATTATTCTCTTTAAATAGACAAACAAAAAGCCTTGTCGGAAACATGATGTGAACGCCCTCATTTATTGTAGCAACTTACCTGAATGCTGTAGCTAATGCATAGGTGACAAGGGCAATGACAGCTGTTATGTTTAGCTTTTTAAATGCCGTAATTAGGTGTTATTTGTGAACTGAAAGCTTGTGTAGGAACTTTACCAGTTGAAATTTGATTATTATGAAAGGAATAAACCCAGTGTTATAAAATATCTTTTTGTGTAATGGGATTTAAGTTTTGAAAGTGCAGTGATCTGTTACACTAGGGTGTTTCGGAAAATATTAACTACAGAAATGTATTACTGAATATATTGAATTGTAGCCATCCATAACTCTGCTGCTCACAAAGCTGTAGTTTAGCAAAGGTTAAGGAGATATATATATATATATATATATATATATATATATATATATATATATATATATATATATATATATATATATATATATATATATATAAAATATAATGTATATATATATATATACATATGCTTAATTTGATTTCTTTTCAAGCATTATATCATTTAAGTTTCTGAGCATAATGATTATACAAGTACTTACATTTTATTGTGCCAAATCATAGCAGCGAAGTAACTCAGGCATGGTGAAACAAGCTGGTATATGTAGAATCTTGTCTCTGAAGCTGACTTTTAAGTATTAAGGGATGTCTTTACCACAGGGAATTTTGAGTTTTTATGAATCACACAATTTCACGTACACTTAGGCATACAAGTACACAGAGACACTTAGACACTCACAAACACATGTAAAATCTTATGCTTAACACTTGGAAAGATACATAGACACCCAAAAACACTGAGATGCGCATGCTTGCCTGTGAATACAATTTAGACAAGTTGGAAAACAGAGACCAAGAGTAAATAAAATGGAATTAAGTATGTGCATAATTTAAGTATTCTGTATACTTTCTTACTTGTACCTACTTTAGAAAAATAGGTAGTTTATAATTGTCTGCTATTATTATTATTATTATTATTATTATTATTATTATTATTATTATTATTATTTTATTTTGTTTTTATTTTATATATTTTCTGGGAGAAAGTGATAGCAATTCTTGATTAGCTCTTCACTGAACAATATATAAGTCTGTATGTGTACATACATACATGCATACAAACACACAAACATCCACACGCACATGCAGATGCAGATGCAGATGCAGACGCAGACACAGACAGACACACAGACAGACAAACACACAGACAGACAGACAGACAGACAGACAGACAGACAGACAGACAGACAGACAGACAGACACACAGACACAGACACAGACACACACACAGACACACACACACACGCACACACGCACACACGCACACACGCACACACGCACACACGCACACACGCACACACGCACACACACACACACACACACACACACACACACACACACACACACACACACACACACACACACACACACACACACATTTATATAAAGATACATTTACATATACTTATACATACACATAAGTACATACTGTATATGTAATATATATTATATATACAGGTGCCAATATAAAACCGCAAGTCTTGAGTGCCAAAATAGTATTGGCACATGCAAAGTAAACCCAGTATATTTCTGTGTTCTAAGTCATGATGACTTTTCTGATTAGTCATTACGATATTGTACTTGTTTGATATAGAGAAATGCGATGAAGTGAGCTTTTGTCGCATTGCTTTTATTTTTCTAGTCTCTCTGAGGGTCTTCTATTATTGGTTAATCTAAGTTGTGCAATTTTTAATGTTTAGTGATGTAGCGGCAGCTAAAGAACGTGCGCAGGTAATTGAACGATTGTGAAGACTTCGATATATTTTTCTGTGTGTGTTTTTAGTCCTTTCCACCAAGCATCGTATCTTGAGTTGATGAAAGAGGAACCTCAAGTTTAATAGATGATTGTCTAAGATAATTACAGTTGGGAAAGGAATTTAAACAAGTACCAACCCTTTTCCTGTTGCCTGCTTTTGGAATATTTCTGTTATCTGAATAATACTCTTTGCCTTTTGCTTCGAAAAATAATATAGACGAGGAGATTTGTATTTCACTGGAATTCGGAAGAGGAAAGGAAAGGCGATTCTTTATTTTTTAGTGCCATAAGACTTTTACGATTACGACCGTTTATTATGATTATTGTAAGTCTTCAGCTGTACCTGCGATTATGCTATTTTCCTCCCCTTTCCCCTTTTAGTGGGCCCACAGCATTGATTAATTATTGAATATCTACTAACATCAGTTATTGAGCCTTTTTATTGCATCTGCTTTCAACAAAAATAAAAGAGAAAAAAAATACTGCTATTAAAGGGGATTTTGCTTGTAGATTTTAGGGATAATTGTAAGCTGTAAAATGTTTTATCATTTACATTTATTGAATAAGTTGTTTAAGGATGCCGGTAGTTGGTAGGGCATTGTTACTTTTTAATCTTTTCTTACGTGCAATTTAGTATTTATGTTGTTTAGAGTACTACTTGTAATACTTGTTTGTGAAAGGTGTGCTGTCTCTGTCTCTCGTTTTTACCTCTCTTTCCCCCTCCCTTCCCTTCTCCTTCATACCTCCCATTCTCTCTCCTCCCCTACCTCTCTTATGCTCTCTCCCTCCCTCTCTTCCCAAGACTTTGAAAGAAAGAGCATGGATGAGAATATATAAGAGACAGAGAATTGGAAGTGAAAGGGATCACCAGTGTTCTGTATTGAAACAAAATTGTTGATCATTTCTTGCCTGGCTCGAGGCAAAAGAAAATTTTCTACAAGTTCTTTTAAGTGTGTATGTTCTTTTCCCCCCAAGAGTGTGAAACAGGTTGTCATGAAGTTCCCCATTGGCTGATGTATGTAGCTCAGATGATAAAGAACTTCAGGTGTGAGCTGGAGTCTGGTTTTTCAGATATTAAGCGGCTTTTACGACTTTGATCAATAGAAATGTTCACAGTTGACCTTGCTAATGATCACCATTTCATAAAATTCTTGTAAATATTGAAGGCTTTAAATTATTGATAAAATTATTGATTTTAATATACATTATTAAGGGAAAGATAAGTGAAGGGATTGTGTAATTTAATCCAGTTAGGCTTTGACAAATTTGCATATTATTGATAATATTTTTTAATATTACCAGACTACAGGTTTTAAAGGTGTGAGAATGTAAGAGCATGAAAACATTAATGTCAGTAGAATATAAGATATCTTTTGTAAATAGTCTGTGTACTTAATTAAAAAAAACATCACTCTAACAAAATGACAGATGATTTTCATACTTTGTGTTTGATTTATCCCATTATTCGTGATTTTAAGCGAAACAACAAGAGTTTAATGGTGTATTACTTGGCATTGGGAGGGAAGATGTTAACAATGTATTGTAATTATTTCAGCATTTAATACTTCATGTTATACCCTCCAGAGAAACCTCACAACTTACCCCCTGCCTTGGACCTCGCCTCTCACTTCAACAAATTTTGCGCGGTCTTTTCTTCTCCCCCTTTCCTTTTCTTTCTCTTCTTCATCCCCTTCTCTCCACTAATCCTAATTGTTTGAACCCTTTTCGCCGAAATACTTTACCATAGAGCTATATGACCTTTGATGTCTAGCACATTTATTTGTTTTAACCATCAACTATAAACGCCAACATTCTACATTATTTGTTTTAACCATCAACTATAAACACCTACATTCTATATTATTATTTTTTTAACCATCAACTATAAACATCTACATTCTACAGAAACGTGTACCACACTTGTCAACTAACCATCCTCTCTCTACACTCGCACAACAATCGCCCTAAAAGCCGTCTTAGGCCCCATCCAGACGAACGGGCAGTGGCCAGTGAGTGGATATTTCACACTTGTTTAGCAGTGTTACCAGACCAAGCAGTCCCCAGCGGCCATCGGGCACATCTATGTTATGCACACGGGTGACGGACA